TACATATGTCTAAATCTGTACTGAACAACAATAGCCAAACACCTCAAGGGGAAGAATCACTAAGCCGGGGGCTCAGGTCCACCAAAGTCAATTGGCATGCTCTTGTTCACAAAGACGGTGCCCTACATCCTACTCACATGAGTGCGAGCCTTGGGTCTTAAAAGGTTGTGAGCAGCCAAATATTGTCCTCTCCTCATTCGAAGAAAAGAAGAAGGAAGAAAAACAAAGGCTCCAGGAAGCAGTTTGTCAGTGACTCATCGACCATGCATATCCCGAGATCTGAAGAACTAGATGGTACCCAGCCACCATTAGCAACAGCTCCGAGAGGGATCACATAATAAGGTCCTGGTTCAAGTGGGAGAGCAATGTTGAACAAAACTCAAAATCATAAATAGCAAACAAACAAAACGACCAGGCTTACTGGTTGGAAAGAGACTTGCAGAACTTCTAAAACCATGGCCCTTAGTCACCCTTCATATGTGGACCTGAACCAACGAGCTGGTTGCTCAGATTGTAGCTGAACAGTGGACAGGTCTATAAGGGGGGACAATAACACGAGTGAAGTGTGAGCACATGAGTATAATCGACGTTTTGAGCCCTAAAGGGCAGCATTTACCCAGAGACAACGTTCTGAAGAGTTAAGAAAGAAGGAGGAATGGGGATTAGGAACACTCAGAAACAGTGGGATAAGTGATGTGACGTTGAGGGGATTACAATCAATGAGGGGAAACAAAATGTGTATGGATGCTCAAATGGAAAACTGATCTGCTCTGCAAACCTTCACTCAATTCACCATGACAGATTAAGAAGAAAACAACAACTAGAAAACAAAGCAATATAAAACAATTAGGGCGAGGTGAGGTGGGGAGCAGGAGAATGCAGATGGATTTCAGAGGAGGTATCGGGGCCAAGGGCCAAAGAAAGAGTCCTGGTCACATAATCAAGTCACCGACTGCTAAGGGAAGGGTACATAGTTCAAATCCACCAGTGACTCTATGGCTGAAAGATGAGGCACTCTCTCCCCATAAAGATTATTTCAACTCTTTTGAGTTGATTCCATCTCATGCCGACCCTAGAGGATAGAATCAAATGGCTCCCTGGGGTTTCTGCAGCTATAATTCTCTCTCATGGAGAGGTTGGTGGATTCGAACTGCTTAGCTTACAGTGAAAAGCCCCGTGCATAACCTACAATGCCACCAGGACGGTTTCTGTAAGCACAGACCTTGGAAAGTCTGTGGGAAAGGTCTGCCTAGCTCTAGAGGGTTTCTATGAGACTAGATGGCCACCGTTTGGGTTCTGTGTGCTTTCTGGTTTGGGCTAGGGTTAGGTTGGTTTTAGTTTTATTAAGCCGAAGAGGATAGTTTCTAACTGGACTATAACCACAGGAAAAGCAAGTTTAACACTGAATCACAGCACTGAGTGGCTATCTTGTGATTAAACAAAGTGTATGGTAAAATCATGTTGTTGTTGTTGTTGTTGCTGTTGTTGCTGTTGCTGTTGCTGGGTGCCATAGAGTCAGTTCCAACTTCTAGTAACTAGACGTGCAACAGAAGAACACTGTGGGGAAAACTAATACGAAGAGAATTTTTTTAAAGCTGAAGTACCTTCTTTTGCTGTGAATGAATAAACACAATCCGCCACTGCTTCCCTACCGTCAGGGGCATCGCTACCTTCATCACAGCCCCTCCGGGGTGCGCCACGTGCTCTTTTGCAAACAAAATCTCTACGTTGAGCAGGTAAACTCCTTAGAAACTTAACATTGTATGCAAACGTCTGCCATCGGTAAAATCCACACACAGGTAGGACTTCAGAACCAGTGACCATGATTGTGACCATGATTTTAGACACACACACACACACACACACACACACACAGTCATTTGACTTCAGTGAACATCTAAGGTTATTCAAAGTCAGCTGAAACAATTGCTTCATTTTCCCCTACACACACACATGTGCACACACACACATGCACGTGCACACATCACTATGATGGGCTAGAACCATCAAGGTCATAGAGAAAACCAACAGGGTCCTTGTGTGTCCACCTTGAGCCATGCCCAATTGTGCCTTCATTCCAGAAGAGAGCCTATCATTGAGAGGGTGCCATCACAACCCAATACCCGGGAATGCTGGGATAAGATCTGCAACGAACACTGGTCAGCAGTTTCCGGGGATCACATGCTCCTAGCATTGACTGGCAGTGAGAGAGGCCACCTAAAAGGGCCACTGATTTCCATTCTTCTGTTCACAGCCCCTCCCTCACTCTCTCCCGGTAGTCTCCATACCTATCCTTAGCTCCAGGCTACTTAGAACCTCAGACCTGCTCATCCTGCTGAAGGACAGTCCCCACCAATGGCCTACTGACTTTTCACTCGCCTGCCTTTCGAATATCTCTGTGTGAGGTAAGCAGACTCAGAAACCTTCCAAATATGGGGAACTTAAGAGAAGCCCCTTCTGATATTCGATACCCCGGCAAGACCGATCAATGTTGTAGGGGGCTGGAACATGTTCCTGGAAAAACCTTCCCATTCCAGGTGTCCGAGCCCTTGGTGAAGCCCCTCCATGTAGACCTTGCTTTATTATGCAGGGGCCAAAAAACCCAAACCCGCTGCCAGCGAGTCAGTTCCAATGCATAGCAACCCTAGGTGGAGTTTCTGAGGTGAGAAATCTTTACAGGAGCCAATAGCCTCTTCTTCCTCTTGAGGAGTCCCTGGTAGGTTTGAACCACCGAACTTTCGGTTCGCAGCCCAGCAAATACCCGAGAGCACCACCAGGGATCGCTCATTTGGGGGGCGTGTCTTCAAATTTGGCTTTAAGAATCTGAGGTAAAGGAAACCAACCTGGGTGGAGCTAAGGGATCTCCCAAGCCTCGGGGCACGTGCCACACCCATCCATTACTCCAACCCTGGCTACCCTGGCCACAGAGCGCTCAGCTATCCCAGGCACCACACAGGTGTGTTGATAAAGATGACACCGTGGCAGGTGTGTCTTGAGGCTCCTACTTCCCATAGGAATGTACACTCCCAGCAATATGGTGGTTTGGTGGACACCCCTTGATGGTCTCTACAGCAACGTAACCACAAATATCAGGTAGATCTCCATTGCCCGAAACAAAGGATACACTGGACACTTTGAAGTGCAAAGGCTAAACCAATGTGTACACATAGGTCACCTCACAATTATGATAATCCCCGAAAGGTGTGGCTAGAGGTCCTTCCGATTCCACGGGCCAAATAGCCTCTGTAGAATCTGATTGCCCCAGATGTGGAGAAATGGCTTCCTGCAGTGGTGCGGCCCCCCACGGCATAGCTTCTTTCATTTTGTTGCCACACACGGCCACCCAAAGAACTGGCAACGTTTGGTCAAATGCCATCCACAGGATAACGGCCCCTCATACATTCATTCATGCCTGAAACAGGCGATGATGTCTCCATCGGCGAACAGACCTTCAAAATGATGTCATCCCCATAGACTCGATTAGCTGCTGAACCAACCCAAAGGAAATGGCCTCTCTTCTGACAGAGGAGCCCTCGGGTCAGAGCCAAATGCTCTGGGCAGACCTGACGAATTTGTCTGATGCCCGAGGCCAAGTCGAACCCTTCCTCTCAGAGAAGGAAAAATACCACCGTGCAAATAAAGTCATTTGCAAAATCTCTTACCAACTGCCACTTCCCCCCAACTGCAATGAACAGCAAGCAAAGCGCTGATTGATCCCTGCTTTAAAACCAGAACTGGCGGAGCCACGACCAGCCATGGACAGTCAGTGACCTCCATGGGGCTTAGCAGCAGGGGCCACGGCCCGCACCTGTGCCTGTGAAAACCACCACGCATTGTTCAAGACCACCGGCTCCAAACCCTTTGCCTTAGAATGCACAGCAGTCCGGCAAGGGGTCTGGTGGGGAGGTGGGAATTCCAGCGCAGGGGACGTGTGGGAGGCTATTTGTGGCTTTGTGTTTCTCATGACGTCCGAGGAATTCGACCATGGACTCCATCTGAGAGACACACACTGCCCCTCCCAGTTTCTCAGACCTGCACTGGCCACCAGACCCGAGACCACAAGGCCTGATGCTGGGGAGGCGACCAGCCACACAAAACAGTTCCCTCCTGGCTGGGGCCAGAGCCTTCTCCTGGGGGGCCTTTCCACTGGGTTCCCCAGCCAGCTGCAGCCCAGAAGGCCCTCTTGTCAGCAAACCAAGCAAGCTTTCCGGGAGAGAAAGGGGATCTGTTTGGGCTTCTTTGCTGTGGGAAGCAGATGTATGCAGAGGAAATATCCCATCTCCATTCTCACTGCCACTCTTCTCTTCTCAGCAAAGAAGTGCCCAGCTGCCTTCTCCACTGGGCCTGCCCTGGCCGCTACCTCTGGACTGCACCACACTGGCTCTGCTGGCTGCCAGGCCACCAACTTCAGCCGGCTCTGGGCTTCCCAGGCGCCCTGCCAGTGCAGGGCTGAAGTGCCTCATGACGCCACGGTAGCACCTCTGGTTTGGTGAGGCCCGGCAGGCACTCAAGGAGACTGTGGGCTGACACCAACCCCTCACACCCCACACCCCCGCCCCTACCCAGGACCCTCCACAAGCCAGGAGCACCAGGTGGCCCTCAGCGCCAGCCCCATCCCTGCAGCACAGGTGGCCTGCACACAGACACCACCAACCCCCGGCTATCAATCCATAGGATAGCTTGCCTATACTAGTGTAAAGGGCGCCCTCCCTCCTGGTCACTGCCAGCCACCTCTCCATCCCACCCCCCTCCTCACCACGAGTCCTCAAGTTCCAGCACCAGAGCTTTCGGCAGAGGCCTAGTCAACACAGTCCCACCCCACCCCCAGTTCACGGGAGACGGCCCAAAAATCCCACTCGTGGGGGCAGGGGGCTTTCTGCCCAAGTTTCCAGGACCCTGGAGGGGGTCGTGAAGGGGCCAGGGAGTGCCTTCCAGCGGAGCCAATCCAACTCCCCAAGGCTGGCCGGTGGGCTCTTCTTCCCCCTTCCCCCTCCCCCTACCTTGCTCCTCGCTGCTGCCCCCAAATCTGGCAGCCGTGTGTTCCTCCTCCTGCGGGGGCTGGGACTCTGCTCCAGCACCTCCACCCTCCGGGGCTTTGCGTTTCTTCGACATCTCTGGCGGGGCTGGGACTTTGGGGAGCTCTTTCCCCACCCCCAGTCCCTCCCCCCTCAGGGATGTGAGCGAAGGTGGGGTTAGGTGAAAGGAGGCTGAGGCAGTGGGAAGGGGTGGGGAGAGGGGCCAGGGAGGTAGGCGGTAGGAAATCGCTATCGCTGAGGGTCGGGGACTTTGGGGTGGCGGGGAAGGGCAGGTACCCTCCACCAGTCCCTTCCGAGCGGCTCCGCTCCCGGGCTGAGCGCTCCTCTGCTCGCTCCCCCTCTCCCCCTCCCTCCCCTCCTCTCTCCCTCTCTCTTTCCTCATTTTCGCTCCTGTAGGAGAGGCAGCGAGAGTGGAGATCAAAAACCTGGTTGGGGGTGGGGGGGTGGGGGGCAGGCCCTCTGCGCCCCCGGCTGACCCCTTCCGGATGGGGAGGGGAGTGAGTGGGACAGTGCGCACTAGGACCCCACCCCTGCTTCCCCGTGAAGGAGGGTGCCTTCTGGATGCTGAAGGAGGCGTCCGTCGGGATGTGGGATGGGGTGGGGTGAAGTCCACGGGAAAAGTGGGTGCAGTGAAGACAGCCTCACGCTGCACACCGCTCTGGAGCGGGGCTACAGGGTGGAGGTGGGGGTGGGGGACTCGACCCTCCCCTCCCTATGACATCAGCGCCGCCTGGGCGAAAGCGACTGTGGGTAGGGGTCGGAGGGAGCCGACTGTGGCTCAGAGCTGAGACGTGGGACCTCTCTGGTCTAGTCCCCATTCAGAACGCGAGAAAGGAAGGGTTAAAGGGCGGAAGAAAGGTCAGGCGCTCACCGACTGCCGGGCTGCCGCGCGGCCAGCACCAGGCACCTCCGCGGGGACCCCAAAGTGATTCACAGCCCGCGCCCCAGCCTCGCCCCCAGGCGCTCCCGCCGCCCGCGCCTGCTCCTGCCGGCGCGCTCGGCTGCTCACTCCACGCTCTGGCCCCCTCCTCGGCCTCCTCGGAAGCCCCTTCCCCAGCCCTCCAACACACCCCGCTCTTCTTTCCGAGACGACGCAGAGTTCTCCAGAGCAAAGTGGGAAGAGGTGAGGAGGGAGTCTCTCCGGATGCTCACGGGTTAAAAGCGGTGGCGGGAACTTGCAACTTACCGGCCTGGGGTGGCCGCTGAGCCGCGCAGCTCCGGGCCGGGG